AGCAGGTCATAGCAAACTTCAAAAAACTGTACACAAAAGCTCTGTTTGAAAGGTGCTTTGTAGTGACCTTAGAAACTCAATTGACTCTAAGAGAGTTTTGGAGAGATCACTTTAAAATCCTCAATTGTGTAAACCTTATAGGTAAGGCTTGGGAGGGAGTGACTAAGAGGACCTTGAACTCTGCTTGGAAGAAACTGTGGCCACAATGTGAAGACCAAAGGGATTTTGAAGGATTTGAGGCTAACCCTGAGAAGCGTATGCCAGTTGAGGAATCAATTGTGGCATTGGGGAAGTCCTTGGGGTTGGAGGTTAGTGGGGAGGATGTCGAAGAGTTGGTGGAGGAGGACAATGAAGAACTAACCACTGATGAGCTGCTAGATCATCTTCAACAGCAAGAGGCCACACATGAGGAAACTGCTTCAGAGGAGGGGAGAGAGAAATTGAAGAAGTTGCCTACTTCAAAGATTAAGGAAATATGTGCAAAGTGGCTTGAAGTGCAAACCTTTATGGATGAAAATCACCCTCAGACAGCTATTGCAAGCCGTGCTGGTGACTATTACACTGACAATGTTGTGAAACACTTTAGCAAAGTCATAAAGGAACGAGAGGTACAGACCTCTATGGACAGATATGTTGTGCGACAGAAGTCCAGTGACTCTGAAGCTGGTCCTAGTGGCATTAAAAGAAGAAGGGAAGTAACCCCGGAAAAGGACTCGACACCTCAAGTCCTAATGGAAGGGGATTCCCCTTATAAACACTAAGACCATCAACACTCTCCCCTCCTCCCATCCCATCAATCATCACCAGATCTTCAATAAAGGTAAGTGTCATGTAACTGTGCATGTCTTCTTCAGTTTGTGTGTATTAAAATTAATATTCCATGTGGTAAAAAAAATTTTTTTTCATACTTTTGGGTGTCTTGCACAGATTAATTTGATTTCCATTATTTATTATTTATTTATTTATTATCACACTGGCCGATTCCCACCAGGGCAGGGTGGCCCGAAAAAGAAAAACTTTCACCATCATTCACTCCATCACTGTCTTGCCAGAAGGGTGCTTTACACTACAGTTTTTAAACTGCAACATTAACACCCCTCCTTCAGAGTGCAGGCACTGTACTTCCCATCTCCAGGACTCAAGTCCAGCCTGCCAGTTTCTCTGAACCCCTTCATAAATGTTACTTTGCTCACACTCCAACAGCACGTCAAGTATTAAAAACCATTTGTCTCCATTCACTCCTATCAAACACGCTCATGCATGCCTGCTGGAAGTCCAAGCCCCTCGCACACAAAACCTCCTTTACCCCCTCCCTACAACCTTTCCTGGGCCGACCCCTACCCCGCCTTCCTTCCACTACAGGCTGATACACTCTTAAAGTCATTCTCTTTCACTCCATTCTCTCTACATGTCCGAACCACCTCAACAACCCTTCTTCAGCCCTCTGGACAACAGTTTTGGTAGTCCCGCACCTCCTCCTAACTTCCAAACTAAGAATTCTCTGCATTATATTCACATCACACATTGCCCTCAGACATGACATCTCCACTGCCTCCAGCCTTCTCCGCGCTGCAACATTCATCACCCATGCTTCACACCCATATAAGAGCGTTGGTAAAACTATACTCTCATACATTCCCCTCTTTGCCTCCAAGGACAAAGTTCTTTGTCTCCACAGACTCCTAAGTGCACCACTCACCCTTTTCCCCTCATCAATTCTATGATTCACCTCATCTTTCATAGACCCATCCGCTGATACGTCCACTCCCAAATATCTGAATACATTCACCTCCTCCATACTCTCTCCCTCCAATCTGATATCCAATCTTTCATCACCTAATCTTTTTCTTATCCTCATAACCTTACTCTTTCCTGTATTCACTTTTAATTTTCTTCTTTTGCATACCCTACCAAATTCATCCACCAATCTCTGCAACTTCTCTTCAGAATCTCCCAAGAGCACAGTGTCATCAGCAAAGAGCAACTGTGAGAACTCCCACTTTATGTGTGATTCTTTATCTTTTAACTCCATGCCTCTTGCGAAGACCCTCGCATTTACTTAGAGCTCAATGTTAGGCGAAATTATCGTTAGGCGAATTAATTTTCCCCATAAGAAATAATTTACTAAGTAAATTATTTCTTATGGGGAAAATTAATTCGCCTAACGATAATTTCGCCTAACATTGAGCTCTAAGGAACGGATTAATAGCGTTATGCGAGGGTCCACTGTATTTCTTATGGGGAAAATTAATTCACCTTACGATAATTTCAGCATACAATGAGCTCTCAGGAATGGATTAATATCGTAAGGTGGGGGTCCACTGTATCGCCATGGTCAGTAACTTAGTGAGAGTGTAATTCCTTACGTTTTCCACCAAATTTCGTTCTTTTGGTGTCATTACCATCGGGAAAAGATTCTCTATCATTTCATAAGAAAAAAAAAATTTTTTTTTTTTTTTTTAAATTTTTCGACACCAGAAGACACTTCAGGATTTGGGGTTGCAACAGTCAAAGGGTTAACTGTGGGAGACCCTGGAAAAAAAATTGTGTGTGCAGGAAGATTTTGAACAATAAAAAAAAATATTTTTCTCACAAATCAGTAGAACTTGTTTTTCTGAACTGAATAAGAAAAAATGTGTGAAATAAGATAAGTTATGATTTTATGGTAAATAATAAATCCAATACTGATGATCTATTTTTTGGCTGCTGCATACAAGAATGTTTGTGTGACTTTATTAATGTTAATTATTAATGTTAATGAGTGTGGGGGACATGCGTGAGGCATTACGTAGAATGAAAGGAGGTAAAGCAGCTGGAACTGACAGGATCATGACAGAAATGTTAAAGCAGGGGGATATATAGTGTTGGAGTGGTTGGTATTTTTGTTTAATAAATGTATGAAAAAGGAGAAGGTACCTAGGGATTGGCAGAGAGCATGTGTAGTCCCTTTATATAAAGGGAAGGGGACAAAAGAGATTGTAAAAATTATAGAGGAATTAGTTTACTGAGTATACCAGGAAAATGTATGGTAGGGTTATTATTGAAAGAATTATAGGTAAGATAGAATGTAGGATTGCAGATGAGCAAGGAGGTTTCAGAGTGGGTAGGGGATGTGTAGATCAAGTGTTTACATTGAAGCATATATGTGAACAGTATTTAGATAAAGGTAGGGAAGTTTTCATTGCATTTATGGATTTAGAAAAGGCATATGATAGAGTGGATAGGGGAGCAATGTGGCAGATGTTGCAAGTATATGGAATAGGTAGTAAGTTACTAAATACTGTAAAGAGTTTTTATGAGGATAGTGAGGCTCAGGTTAGGGTGTGTAGAAGAGAGGGAGACTACTTCCCGGCAAAAGTAGGTCTTAGACAGGGATGTGTAATGTCACCATGGTTGTTTAATATATTTATAGATGGGGTTGTAAAAGAAGTAAATGCTAGGGTGTTTGGGAGAGGGGTGGGATTAAATTATGGGGAATCAAATACAAAATGGGAATTGACACAGTTACTTTTTGCTGATAATACTGTGTTTATGGGAGATTCTAAAGAAAAATTGCAAAGGTTAGTGGACTAGTTTGGGAGTGTGTGTAAAGGTAGAAAGTTGAAAGTGAACATAGAAAAGAGTAAGATGATGAGGGCATCAAATGATTTAGATAAAGAAAAACTGTATATCAAACTGGAGAGGAGTATGGAAGAAGTGAATGTTTTCAGATATTTGGGAGTTGATGTGTCAGCAGATGGATTTATGAAGGACGAGGTTAATCATAGAACTGATGAAGGAAAAAAGGTGAGTGGTGCACTGAGGTATATGTGGAGACAAAAAATGTTATCTATGGAGGCAAAGAAGGGAATGCGTGAAAGTATAGTGGTACCAACACTCTTATATGGGTGTGAAGCTTGGGTTGTAAATGCTGCAGCAAGGAGATGGTTGGAGGCAGTGAAGATGTCTTGTCTAAGAGCAATGTGTGGTGTAAACATTATGCAGAAAATTCGGAGTGTAAAAATTAGGAGAAGGTGTGGAGTTAATAAAAGTATTAGTCAGAGGGCTGAAGAAGGGTTGTTGAGGTGGTTTGGTCATTTAGAGAGAATGGATCAAAGTAGAATGACACGGAGAGTGTATAAATCTGTAGGGAAAGGGCGGAGTACGGGTCGTCCTCGAAAAAGTTGGAGTTGGGGGTAAAGGAGGTTTTGTGTGCAAGGGGCTTGGGCTTCCAGCAAACGTGCATGAGTGTGTTAGATAGGAGTGAAGGGAGACGAATGGTATTTGGGACCTGATGAGCTGTTGGAGTGTGAGCAGGGTAATATTTAGTGAAGGGATTCAGGGAAACCGGTTATTTTTATATAACCGGACTTGAGTCCTGGAAATGGGAAGTACAATGCCTGCACTCTAAAGGAAGGGTTTTGGGATATTGGCAGTTTGGAAGGATATGTAAACTGTGTATTGTCATAAGTACATGCTTCTAAACTGTTGTGTTCTGAGCACCTCTGCAAAAACAGTGATTATGTGTTAGTGAGGTGAAAGTGTTGAATGATGATGAAAGTATTTTCCCTTTGGGGATTTTCTTTCTTTTTGGGTCACCCTGCTTCAGTGGGAGACGGCCATCTTGTTAAAAAAAATAAATAAATAAATAAATAAAATTAATATTTTGAGAGGCAGTTACATAGGTTGAAAACATTAATGCAAGGAAGAACGAGGAAATTAAAGTAATATGTGCCACAATACAGAGCAATGAAGTGGTAAGAATATGAAGACAATTATTAGAAGGCAGTGAGAGTTTAAAAGTACATACAGTGGCATAAGATAAAATTTGGTACTTGACAGAGTACATAAGAGGGTTGTGTGGGTAAGTGAACTTATGGAAATACCATAGATTATGATGAAGGATGGAAGCTTACATAATCATCTTTCACACACCATTGATAAAAGCACAAACATCCTATGCAAAATAATTTTTCATCTGTAAGAAAGAGAATTTGGAAAACATTAGAAGAGTACAGTACCTTAGCAGACCCTTGGGAAGGAGTATTCTATAATGATGAATAAATTCATCATAGGAAAGTCTAACATTGAAGCCAGCCTGCCGTATTCGAACTGTTTCCAGCATGCCTGTGTATCTCAGCTGCCGCATTACCATTTCATCTCCAAAAACATTGGCCTCCTGTAAAACAATAAGAATATTGGAAAACACATAATCTTAAAAAATCTAGATCATCTATTTCCATGACAATAAAAACTGAAGACTAAGCAAGAATAAAAAATCACAACACCATGGCTCTAGCACCTGTGACATACCTATGAACAGTTTTAATTTTTCCTTCTCTAGGCATCACAATTTGGAGATAATAATTCAGATGATATTCTGGTCCATCCTGGACCATTATCTAGTCATGACTTGGCAATGGTATAAGATTAGCCCAAATAGTGTAGTAAAACATTAACTCCAAATTGTAGATTGGTATATGTCAGTAAATCTAATAAGATTGTACTTTAATCTCAATGAGAGGGATAAAAATGTTTCTTGATGGTAGTGTGGAGGATGGGAAGTGGGGCTTTAGCCCTTAGAGGGTTCATGCCGTTGTTCTACGGCTTTGAAGCCAGGGTCAGTGTCATAGTACTATGTGATGAGCTCAGCTCAACCAGATAAGCTGTGAGTGGTAAATTTGGACCTAGACTGTCACTGTGATATTGTTTTTGGTTTAAAACAGCAACCTAGAGGTGCATTTTCATATGGTTTTCACCATTGTAATCAAGGTTTCTTGGTCTCATTTGACAGAATGAATGATATACAACCTCTCCTCAGTTAGCGACGTACTTGTTTACCGATGACTCAGACTTACGATGGGCTCTCTGACCAGTATGCATTTATTTATTTATTTTTTATTTGGACATGAGACATAGTTGTACAAAGAAATATAGTGATTGGTTGTATATGGCAAGCCCCTTGAATACAGAGCATTATAGACAGGCTTAAAATTAACTTTAGTTTAACTAAGCAATGATATATTCAGTGGTAAAAATTACAGTAAACAAATTACAACATGAAGTACAAATGAGTATTTCAAATAAGAAGCATTAATTTGTACAAATTTGTAGCATAAGAATGTACAATATACATGTAATTGAATCAGAGCGAGTAAAATCAATGATTTGTAGTGCAGAAACAGGTCATAAGGTCATTAGATGATTTATTGTGCATTCAAGAGAATGGAATATTCTATTAGGAAACATAATAAAAAAAAACATAGTTTGATAGGGTCACAGGTTGTACATTTATGAGATTCAGTTATTCAGTATTTATTTAGTCGTGGTTGAGTAAGTGGTTTTTAAGAAGAGTCTTGAATTGATAAACAAACAGTATTTCTTTTATATTCACAAGTAATGAATTCCAGATTTTTGGGCCATTTATGTGAATTGAGTTTTTACATAGTGTAAGATGGACACGGGGAACATCAAAGAGTGATCTGTGCCTTGTGTTATGGTCGAGTGTTCTGGCGAGGTTGGTAGGGAGAAGTTTGAGGGGAGGGTTCATATCCGAGGTTAGTGTTCTATGTATGTAGTAGGCACAATAATAAATATGGATGTTTTGTACTATATAATGAATATTAGAGCTGATTTCCTCTATTTTCTTTATTACAATACACAAGTACACTACTCTATACAAGGGAGTAAGGCAGCTGGGATTGATGGGATAAAGACAGAAATGTTAAAAGTAGGTGGGGATATAGTTTTGGAGTGGTTGGTGCTGTTATTTAGCCCTTTCAGGGTCCAAGGCCCAAATCTGGAGTCACGCACCAGTGTCCAAGAATTTTCAAAAAAAAAATTTGTTATTTTTTCTTATGAAATCGTAGAGAATCTTTTTGTGAAGGTAATAAAACAAAAAGTACGAAATTTGGTGGAAAATTGACAAAATTATGCTCTCGCGAATTTTGATGTGTCAGCGATATTTACGAATCGGCGATTTTGCCGACTTTGACTCCCATTTTAGGCCAATTACATTATTCCAATCAACCAAATTCTTAGCTATTTCACTAGTATTACTTCTATTCTATCGATTGAGCACAAGAAATCGCCAAGTCAACTGTTTCAACTACAAAATAAAGTGATCGGAAATTGTTAATTTGGCCAATTTAACACAAAGTTCAAAATAGTCCAATTTCAAAAGAGGGTCCAGAATGAACAATGTAGGCATTCTTGGCACTAAACTAACATTTCCTCTGTTCATTAGTTATGTTTTGAGGCTTTACAAATAAATTCCATTTTGATTTTTTATTCACATAATGAATTTTTATTCACACCAAAAAATAGGAGATTTACTGTTATGCAATACTGTAATAATTGTATAAATATCATCACCATATTTGTGAATGTATATTAGACCCACCAGCTGACGTGTAATAGACGTGTGAGGTCATTTGTTTACTCTTGAATATCGGCAAAAATTTAACATTTCTGCTACTTTGAGCTCAGTTTCAAGCCATTTCCAGTGCTAAAACCAATCAAAATCATCTCTATTTCTGTAATATGTCTTCCATTCTATCAAATGAGACCAAGAAATCGCAAATACAACTATAAAAAACATACGAAAAAACACTGCAAAGTTGCTGTTTTAATCGAAAAATGATGATTTCATTTTTTTTCTCTCATTATACACAGTGTGCTGCAGGATCTGTTTTATGTGGTGCACACATACCACATAGATGTATTCTCTCATATCTAGGCCCAAATGTACCACTCACAGTTTATCAGAGTGAGCTGAGCTCATGGCGTAGATCTACGGTTTGGACCCTGAACGTAAAGCCGTAGATCTACGGGACGGACCCTGAAAGGGTTAGTAAATGTATGGAAGAGGGTAAGGCACCAAAGGATTGGTAGAGTGCATGCATAGTTCCTTTGTATAAAGGCAAAGGGGACAAAAGAGAGCGCAAAAATTATAGAGTAATAAGTATGTTGAGTATACTACCTGGTAAAGTGTATGGTAGAATTATCATTGAAAGAATTAAGAGTAAGACAGCGAGTAGGATAGCAGATGAACGACGAGACTTAAAGAACGGTAGGGTGGTGTGTGGACAAAGTGTTTACAGTGAAAGATATAGGTGAACAGTAGTAAGATAAGGGTAAATAGGTTTTTGAGGAATTTGTGGATTTGGAAAAGGCATATGAAAGGGTGGATACAGAGGCAATGTGGCAGATGTTATACATGTATGGAATAGGAGGTAGGTTACTGAAAGCAGATTAGAGCTTTTACGAGGACACTGAGGCTCAGGTTAGAGTATGTAGGAAAGAGGGAATTTTTTTTTTTCTTTTTAACACGTAAGCCATCTCCCACCGAGGCAGGATGATCCAAAAAGAAAGAAAATACCCAAAAAGAAAGAAAATACTTTCATTATCATTCAGCACTTTCACTTCATTCATACATAATCACTGTCTTTGCAGAGGTGCTCAGATATGACAGTTTAGAAGTCACTCCAAACTGCCAATATCACAAACCCCTCTTTTAAAGTGCAGGCACTGTACTTCCCATTTCCAGGGCTCAAGTCCGGCTAACCGGTTTCCCTGAATCTCTTCACAAAATATTTCCCTGCTCACACCCCAACAGCTCGTCAGGTCCCAAAAATCATTTGTCTCCATTCACTCCTATCTAACACGCTCACACACGATTGCTGGAAGTCCAAGCCCCTCACCCACAAAACCTCCTTCACCCCCTCCCTCCAACCTTTTCAATGATGACCCACACCCCGCCTTCCTTTCCCTACAGATTTATATGCTCTCCAAGTTATTCTACTTTAACCCATTCTCTCTAAATGACCAAACCACCTCAACAACCCCTCTTCAGCCCTCTGACTAATACTTTTGGTAATTCCACACCTCCTCCTAATTTCCAAACTACAAATTCTCTGCATAATATTTACACCACACATTGCCCTTAGACAGGACATCTCCACTGCCTCCAGCCTCCTCCTTGCTGCAGCATTTAAAATGCAAGCTTCACACCCATACTTTCGTACATTCCCTTTTAACCCTTTCAGGGTCCAAGGCCCAAATCTGGAGTCACGCACCAGTGTCCAAGAATTTAAAAAAAAAAAAATTTGTTATTTTTTCTTATGAAATCGTAGAGAATCTTTTTGTGAAGGTAATAAAACAAAAAGTACGAAATTTGGTGGAAAATTGACGAAATTATGCTCTCGCGAATTTTGATGTGTCAGCGATATTTACGAATCGGCGATTTTGCCGAATTTGACTCCCATTTTAGGCCAATTACATTATTCCAATCAACCAAATTCTTAGCTATTTCACTAGTATTACTTCTATTCTATCGATTGAGCACAAGAAATCGCCAAGTCAACTGTTTCAACTACAAAATAAAGTGATCGGAAATTGTTAATTTGGCCAATTTACACAAAGTTCAAAATATTCCAATTTCAAAATAGGGTCCAGAATGAACAATGTAGGCATTCCTGGCACTAAACTAACATTTCCTCTGTTCATTAGTTATGTTTTGAGGCTTTACAAATAAATTCCATTTTGATTTTTTATTCACATAATGAATTTTTATTCACAACCAAAAAATAGAAGATTTACTGTTATGCAATACTGTAATAATTGTATAAATATCATCACCATATTTGTGAATGTATATTAGACCCACCAGCTGACGTGTATTAGACGTGTGAGGTCGTTTGTTTACTCTTGAATATCGGCAAAAATTTAACATTTCTGCTACTTTGAGCTCAGTTTCAAGCCATTTCCAGTACTAAAACCAATCAAAATCATCTCTATTTCTGTAATATGTCTTCTATTCTATCAAATGAGACCAAGAAATCGCAAATACAACTATAAAAAACATACGAAAAAACACTGCAAAGTTGCTGTTTTAACCCTTTCAGGGTCCGTCCCGTAGATCTACGGCTTTACGTTCAGGGTCCAAACCGTAGATCTACGCCATGAGCTCAGCTCACTCTGATAAACTGTGAGTGGTACATTTGGGCCTAGATATGAGAGAATACATCTATGTGGTATGTGTGCACCACATAAAACAGATCCTGCAGCACACTGTGCATAATGAGAGAAAAAAAAATGAAATCATGATTTTTCGATTAAAACAGCAACTTTGCAGTGTTTTTTCGTATGTTTTTTATAGTTGTATTTGCGATTTCTTGG